TATTGCTTTCTTAAAAACACATAAAATTGTATTATAATATCGACAGAGACAAATAATAAAATAGAACATTAAAATCAAGATGTATCTCGCTGCATTGCGCGAGTACTCTTCTAGTATATAACAATACAGACGATGAATCATGTGAGAAGTGATGTTATAGTAAGAAGCGTAAAAGAGATATAAACCATTGATTACTTTTATCTCATGTCAACCATGAATGTGCTTTAGAATAGATTCAAGAGAATTGATCTGGTGCACCTCATAAGTATTGACATTCAATTATGATTGATCCAAGTGTGGATAATAGATCTTATGTTTCTCATAATAACTTCTCTTCTCAGCGGAACCCAACTCTAATAATTAATATACACACCTACACATATTTTATATTTATAATTTATTTAAAAAAATTGATTATAACCATCTTTTTAACCATATTACTAGGATCATTCAATCTAAAGGTTTGGATGTGTTCTTCGGGGTTTTTTTCAAGGTTTTTTTTTCCTGATTTCATTCTTATATTTAGGAAAAAGACCAATTGAGAATCTTAAAAAAAGAACCAAAAAAACCACAAAAAACACAAATTTTCTCTAAATATAAGAGGATATCAGAAGAGAATATTGAAAAATAAAAGAACTGAATAACCCATCCAACCCGTTAGATTAATATGATCAAACAGATAGGGTTAGGGTTAAAAATGTGGTTATAAAAATATGAAAATGTCACATATCATTTTTTAAATCGAAAATCAATGAGATATAATAAAAATTTGGGCAAAACAAATTACACAAAAAACAATCACTTTATTATCTTAATTTGACATTCATTATGATATATTTTTTCATCTGTTTTTTGTTGTTCTCCAGTTATTTTTTTTTCAAGATTCTCCCTTGGTCTTTTCTCTAAAAATAGAGATGAGATCAGAAGAGAATCTTGGAAAAAAAATCGAAGAACTTCTCAATATAAATCAGTTGGGTTTTCATGTCACATCATGTCAATGTTTTCATCGTCATTTTAATCTTTTATGATCGAAATAATTATTTAGGGACCATCAATCTTGGAATAAAAAATCGTACTAGTTATAGTTTAAGATCTTATTGTTGTTTTAGAAATAAGAGAGCACTTCTGATTCATACCCTTAATATTAAGTAATAAAAAATTAATAATGTATGAAAAAACTAGTAGCTTCGAAATCTTAAATATAGATATAAGTTGTATCGTCTCATATGGTTGATAATTTTTTCTTGAAAGGTAGGAGTTTTCCTAGTTAATAACGATAAATACACTACCTTCTAATAGAAAAAATAGAATACACGCAGATGGAATAATCAAAAGAGTCGGTGGGGAGATGAATGATGGAGAATATATCAATATTTTTTAAGCAATACAATTTTAAATTTTAGCAGTATATAAAAAAGTTTAGAGAAACAATAAACAACACTATAAAAATGAACAACCAATTCATTTTTCCACATATTTTATTCTATAATCTATACTATATTATAATGCATTTGACTAAAACTCTTAAAAACTCTTAAACTCTTAAAACTCTTAAACCCGTTCATCCCTAAATAATTTCATCCATATCCGATTTCATCTCATAACTGAATTCGTGTAACTAACTGCAGATAAACACAATAAAATACATGATAAACATCTCATTTTAAATATAAAAAATCTAAAATATAATTAAGATAATCATTGATATCTAACAAAATACTTAATTATTATTTTTATAAAATGATATATTATTAAACCAAAAATAAATTATTTCATTATTAAACTTAAATTAAATTTAAAAAAATAATCTATACTATAT